AGTTTACTTGTTGAAGAAAGCAAACTTATTGGACGGTAGCTAGAAGCTTCAGCTGGATTTTTATCAGGCTTCATTGGAACAACTTTTGCATTTTTCCATTTATGAGGAAAGTATGCCAAATGAATATATCTGTTAAATAATTTTACCAAGAAAGACAATGTACTTTCTGGGAGTTTTTTTTATGAGGATATAGAAAATTCCATCATTACCTGGAGCTTTCATATTTTGAAACTTTCTAGTTGTAGATCTTACTTCGTCCAAATCAGTCCCCCAGGAATCATCAAAAATATATTCCCGAGAGAAAATATTCAGATAATCTCAAGCAACCTGATTCTCAATAGGACTAGTAAGACCAAAACTGAAATTATGGGAACTCTCGAATTGCTTAGCAATTTTCTTAGCTTTTTCCGAATTTGTAATCAAAATTTTACCACCTTCTTTATGCGCTGGAATAGGCTTTTAAGGTTTTTTTTTATAAAATTTGCGAGTTTCCAAAAGAGTTTGGAACTGGGGTCTAATTTAGAAACATTATTTTCAAAATTTTTGTTCCTCAGGGCAGAAAATTGCTTTTCAATTTGTTTTTGCAAATCCCGCCAGATAACTTTCATGGCCGGATCGCGTGATCTTTGATATTGTCTCCCACGGACATTTTTAAGACGGATCAAGAGCTGAAGATTGTCGTCTATTATAATTGAATCAAATTTAACCTCGCATTTTGGTACTGAAGCAGCTCTTACTTCAACTATAGAAGTAGTCATAGATTCAAGAGCATAATTAACATCATTTTTGGTTTGCAAAGGTATGTTTGGATCGAATCTATATTCCATAAATGTTCGATATTGCTTCCAATCAGCTCTATGGTAATTGAAAGTAGAGCTGTTGGGATAAGAAATTATTTCTTGGGATATTTCAAAAGTTACTGGAAGGTGATCAGAACCGAAGTCAGCATGGGTAACCAATTGACTACAAAGTTGACATTAATCAGTTAAGACCAAATCAATAGTTGAGGGATTTTTCGCAGAAGAAAAGCATGTTGGGCTGTTTGGATATTGACTAGTGTAATAACCTACAGGACAATCATCAAACAGAATATTACCATTACCACCAAATTTTACTCCAGTTTGAATAGCATCAAACATCCAGTTAGTTTTTAGCATATCAGAAATCATGTCATTTAATGATTTCTGTAAAAATTCCATTTTAGGAGCAGTAATGCTTCCTAAATCAAAATTTTCCAAATTTCCGTTAGAATAACGTTGGCTAGAATTTTGATTTCTACCCGCTGCAATAGCAACATAGGTAGCTCCATTTACTCGCTGAACATTGTTAGCAGTGAATGTAGAATTTGTTCCTCGCTGACTGTTGTTAACAGCAGAGAAATTTGTACCTGGTCGGAAACGTGGAGCGTTTCCTACCAGTCACTTAGAACGAGATTGTAGGATCGCTTTGCGAATCTTACATTCCCAAAAATTGGATTTGTGGTTTTCAGCACAATTTGAACATTTAAATTTCTTAGAATCTTCCTTCACAGAACAGTCGTCCTTTGCGTGAGAGGATTCACCACAATTCATGCATTAAGCTGGCATGTAGCAATTTTTAGTTCCGTGACCCCATCCCTGGCACTTACGGCACTGGGTGAGGATTTGGAAATTTCCTCCAGGCTTCCTGAAGTGTTCCCACTTCACTCGGACATGGAGCATAAGGCTAGCTTTTTCTAAGGCCTTAATAAAAATCATTAGAAATCCCGATGCCCGAATCGCCAGGGCGGGATTTCATTTTCATTTTGATTACATGGAGTGGCACAACTGCAAGTAATTTTGCCAGTTCATCTTTGATCTGATCCAGGGATTCACCACTGGGCAGTCCTTTCATGACAACCTTGAACACACGTTCAGTTTTGGTGTCGTAAGTAAAAAATTTGTGCTTCTTCTCAGTAAGATACTTGAGAAGACATTTAAATCCGTCCAAGGTTTCAGCCAATACACGGCATTCACCCCGACGTCCAATTTGTAGAGAAAACTTAACTTTCACGAAGTTCAAAAGTTCCATGCGAATAGCATGGAAATCGGAAGTGGTTATCACAATAGGGGGAATCTTTTCCTTCTTGGCATTATGCCGGAAAAGTTCACAAGATTTTTTCCTGGATGATGGAGCATTCTCATCATCCGTGAGCAAATCAAATTGATTGCTCAAATTAATTTCATCAGAAGGGGATCAAGAGGTTGCCCTTTTTTTGCGCTTAGGTGTCATTGCGGCAATAAATTTTTTATCCAAATCGACTTCCAAGCAGATAACTTTAAGAATCTGAAGGATCGAAGAGGAATTTTCCAAATCGATAATCAAAAAGGATTACTTCGGGTAGGGTCCAAACAAATATCGAAGAGGAATAAGAGTTGAAAAAGGTAGAAATTGTATAGGTTGACCACTGAAAAGTGCTGTTTAAATTTGTTGTAGCTTTAGGTAGTAGTAACACTTCCTTCAGCAAAAAGCTAATAGATCCGCAAGGCAAGAGAGCACGATGCGGACTGACCAAGGGGAACGTTAATTAAGAGAGCCGAAGGTAGCAAGCAGGACAATGTATAATCAGATTCTCAAAATACTAAAGGGTTGCGATTAGGATTGGGCGATCTTCAAAGAAAGATCGATCTTGATGAATCGACCTTATGTTTGGTACTAGAATCGATCCACTGATTAAATCGGTACCAAAGAATCGATCTTTGGTAGATCGATCTTATGGTTTTTATTTTAGGTGACCTTTTTGACGTTTATAACTCACACACTTTTGTAATCCCACTTTCAAGTGCTTAGTTTGCTATCCTCACTTTCGCTCTAGCCAAAAATATTGGTTTGTTATTGTTATCCTCGCTTTCGGACCATCAATACTCTTGTATATAGAATGGACTATACGCTTGTTTACGTAGGTAGCCCAAGAAATGTTTCCTTTTTAATTTGCAATTAAATGTTGTCGTGACGGTAAGGAGCAATGAGCACAGGATTGAGGTGGCTAGATCCATCAAATGTTGCTGTATTCGTAAATATCGGAAACGCAAATAGTGACGTGATTGTAAGGAGCGATGCTGATGTTGACGTTATGTTCGTTTAATTTACCACGTATTCTGAGGTGAGAGTAACGCGTTTTATTAAGATGTAAATACAACTACAAAATTTAAAACCTATTTTTTTAAGATCGAAAAGATCGGAAGAAGCAATCGATTTTTTCGATCTTTTTGTGGACAAAGAATCCATTCGAAAAATCGGAAACCGGAATGAAAAGGATCGATCTTCCAAAGATCGATTCAAGATCGCCCAATCCTAGTTACGATGATACACCCCAAAAATATCTGCTATTAGGTTTACGTGTGGCACCTTTAGTGAAATCAAAACATTTGTTGATTCGAGAATACATATTCCAAACATAATAAATTTAAAACTTTTGTACTTATCCTTCTAGTCGTTAATAAATTATTTTAAAAAAAAAACACAGAATGGCGGAGTTAACAAACACAATTAGAACAGCCTCTTCCAGTATGCCAGTAATCGAGAAAATAAAAAACGTCCTCGACGCTCTGGACGTTATAGAAAAAGTAACATCGGCGACTCAACTTCCGGTAGTAATTAGTCTTGTACTGACGAAACTGGAATGAATAGCCTGAAAGTTATCTGAAAGGCCGAACACTATTCAGGAAATTGTGAACGGGCTTAAAGCATAGTGAAACTCACACCTCCAGGAACATTAATAATACAACAATGCAATCAAAATATCAAATGATAAACTTTACCAAAGAAATAGAAGAATTATCAAATCAACTGGAAATGGCCTACATACAAATTCTTATAGATGTTGCAAAAAATATGGCGTCGAATGAATCCATAAAATATTTTGCAGCGGCTTTATGGAATGAACAAAAGGCATTCATTATTATAGCAGGATATTTTACCAAAATTTCAGATGCTATTAACAAGTCATTGGAATAAACTCCCGTCGGTGAAGCCAATGTCTTAGCATACAAAGCACAAAATTACCGACTGGATAACTATTACTACACATGGAAAAATAATTGACAGAACTGTAATCGGTACAATAACCAACAAGGAAGACCTCCATTCCAAAGACAATGGAATGTAGTACGTTTTAACAATCCACAGAGAAATAAGTTCATCAATACTCGTAATAATGACCCAAGCGAATCTAGATACCATCAATACCATCGTACCAATAATAAAAGAACATATTGCTCAAATAACGGGTCAATAAATAAAAACCTTTACCGCTCGGAAAACACGGAACGGCCGTCGACACCTGCCCAAGCTCGTTATAACTTTTCACCAAAATGTGATATTAGTAGCTTTTTTTTCCTTTGGTTTGTTTTTCGTCGATCTTGTTTTCCGTGCTGAGCACTAATGCTACCGACGCCAGGGAGGCAGCTCCCACACCTGGACCTTGACCCATCAACTCATGAACCGGGGACCAACGGCTTTACTTTCCTTCCGAAGGAAGGCGTGATCAGTGATGTGTGAGATGCCTCAGAACATCCCGGCGGCGCTGACTGGGATTGAATCCAGGCCTGCTGGGGTGAGAGATAATCACGCTTACCACTACACTACCGACACCACTGCTTTGGTTTTACGTGACATCAATTTATACAAAGTAATAGTTGAAAAACCGAATTTTTAGGCGCGTGAAGTGTCAACTTCGATACTCAGGAGTTGCCTTAATCAATAGAATGTTTGCTATGTCAAAATTCAAATTCATACCGGTAGTTGGTCTATCTGTTAAGGTTGTCTTCATTTTCAGCTAAATTGAGTGTAGAAGAAACGGTTTATCAACGCTGGTTTTGATACCAGAAATAGCTATTAATTTGTTATAGCGCACAGCTTACCAATAAATATGTCATCAGCCGTAGCATATTTAAAACAAACCGTTTTATCACGTTTGCATCACACTATATACACAATTGTAATCTATATTTCTTTGGAAATCTTTTCCGTTGCTACAATTAAAGGAACACATTTAAGTTTATCACAGATCAAGATCAATCAACACTCCTACTCGTATTTGGATAGATGGCTGTAGCTTTCCCCGTGATCGTGATGCTCCGCTGGATAGTGATGATGTTGTTGTTCATGGTGGTGACCCTGATGCTGTTGATGATTGTCATATGCCACTGCAGTGTAATGTGGTTCAGCATGATGTTCCTGATGCTGCGGTTGGTGGTGATGGTGGGCATGTCCAATCTTCTTTACAACGGCATTGAATCCATGATGAGGATCAGCGGTGTATTCCACCACACGTTCTGTACCATCGGCTTCGTGCAACGAGTACTGTCCCTTCACGACATCTCCATCACGGTGCTCCCAGTGGGATTTGTGGTCCCCAGTATGGGCATCTTTGACACCGTACTCGAATTTATACTTGGGATACGAATGGTGGTGATCTTCATGATGGTGATCTTCGTGTCCACTAGCATCGTGATGATATTCCTCATGATGATAGTGTGGAGCAGCGTGCTTAGTTTCCACGTGAAATTCGTGCTCCGGTTGATGATGGTACCCGGAGGTGGCAGTAACTGCCACAAACACCAAAATGCACGATACCTGTCAATAAAAGCAAAAATGAAAAATTTCAAATCAAAACCAATCGGATTGAGCCACACCAACTCTTTCGTACCTTGAACATGATTTTCGACTGCTACTAACTGAACGTCTACCAATGGAATAACTCCATCTCGGTGGCATACCTGCATTTATATACTGGACATTTGCAGCAACTCAAAGCACAATTAGTAACGACTAATAAACTTAAACCTGGACAACTAATAATAAAAAAAATACTCTTACGCAAACCACTACCTCATCTGATTCGTAGGCATAATGCCTTCTGTGTCCTGCCAAATTGCTATTTCACCTTCGTGACTTTGTTTGCCGATGTCAAAACAGCCGCACGCGTACCACACACGTGCCACATTCGATGAAATCTCACGGATATCCATCTCAATCGCCAAAAATCAAGACCATGTGTGAAGAGCAGATGAAACCGATTCAAATGCGTGACAAAACTGATCACCGCCAGTTAGCTTGGCTCGACGCTGCTTCAACCGTGGGAATTTACTGGTTGATTTTATGGGTTTTAAATTGTTTCAGAAATGAATGTTTCCGCGTTAAATACTAAAGGAAACGTTGTTGCCTATATCCATTGATTTCAACAGTTAGTGAAAAACATTGGATAACAGCCTCCGGATCCAGATGTCGATCAACAAATAAGAGCCTCCAGCTCACAAGGTTGGGTGAATCCAAATCAAATCACGATAACTTCTATCTGGACCAATCGGGAAAGTACATTAAACTGGCTCATTCATATACTTGCACTGGAGAGGACGGAACCGCCGAAGAGGTTAATATCCATACCTATCATGCCTAAGTCAGGAATTCAAATCTCATCTCCGTGCAAGTTACTAATGACCCAAGAGTGTTAGAGTGACAATAATCAAATGCTTGCTCTGGAAGTCCCATGATTTTTGTGTTCTAAGACAATTTAAGACAAACATTGGCAAATTTAATCATCGAAGGGCTCCTTGAGGTTGGGCGGAGATTAAGATGGTACAAATGGGAGAGGGACTAATTTGAAGAATACCATTTTAAAATTATGAATATATGTGGACGGTGACATTTTGTGTATCTCTGTATAGCTGAATGCTATAATTCTTAGAAAATCCAAATCGCAAAATGAAACGTAGTGTTCCAGGCTCACTGTTTTGAACTTTTAATAGAGAATGAGATCTTAATTCCATTGCAAAAATCTTCATTATTCCTTCAGAATTAACAATTACCTTCTAAATTATCTCGCTCAATGCTTGGAATTCATATCAGAGTAATTGAAGTATCCTCAACAAAACTTCTAGAATTGTAGAGCTGGCTACTTACTGATTTTTTATATGTGCACTCCCGCCCACCTCAAATTCTTGCGTTCATAATTTTAATAAAATTATGGATGCATAACTGCATAAACACATCATTAAGTTCCCTATATGGGTAAAACTTTTATGGAATCAGCCATAAACCACAAAACTTAAAAACACTAACTACTAAAAACATAGATTCCCATTCACAAAATGCAATTGATTTGTTATGTTGATATCTGAGTCGTAAAATACTTTCGCCAACAAGATTTGGCCAGACCCTCGCCTTGATAAGCCAATCCCTTTATCATTGTTCTCATGCTCATTTCATTGTCTTCAGTACATAAATATGAAACAGCAAGTGGACTGCAGTCCACAGGAGCTGTATCCCTGTATCAACCAAAACTCTCACGTGACGCATCAAATCACATGAGAATTCAGAAATAAGATGGTTGGCGGGCAAAGGACAAACGACCCAAGAGGGATTCTCGAGAATATTAAGAGCTATTTCTAAAGTTCTCGCAGTTTTCATGACGTTCATTATGTTCTCAGAACTCCTCTAGAGATTGCACAACTTTCTAGATGTTCATAAGCTGCCCTTGAGATCCTTTGATTTTCCTTGAGGCTCCCGGAACTGTCTTGAAATTTATGTAATTTTCATAAAGATCTCAAAACTTTCGAAAATGTCTCTAGACTTTGGAAGTGGAGTTCTTTGGAGTTTCCTGAAATTCGGTCGGGTTCTCGGAAGGTTTCAGTATTTTTTTAATGCTCCCATAATTTACTTAAGTTCACGTTCTTTGACCTTGGCGGAAGTTCTGACGTTATAGATATGTTGATGCTCACGGAACTTACTTTATTTATTAAACTTCCCATACCGTCACTAAACATCCCTGAAGTTTCCTCAATTTTCCTAATTAGGCCTATTCTGCGCGGCGTGTGAGGTGAGGTGACAGTGAAGTATTGGTGAAGTGACAATTGTCACCTCGGGTGAGGTGAGTCTCCGTGCAAATCAAATGGAGAGTCACCTCACGCGAGTGAAGTGACAGCGTGTAACCTCACCTCACACGCCTCGCAGAATAGGCCTAAATATTCATGAATCTTTTATGAAGTTCTCGTAAATTTTCTGGAATTCTTGGAACATCCTGAAGCAGTTCGAACAACTTTTCTATTTTCCTGAAGTTTAACGAATTGCTCTGAGGTTCTTTGATCTTTTCTGATTTATTTGGAACTTGTCTGTAATCGATTACATTCTCCTGAAGTTATTGGAACTGTACTTTCTTGGAGATCTTTGAACTACTGTTAAATTCCAGAATTTTTCTATAGTTTTCTAAAATTTTATGAAGTTCTCTGGACTTCCAGAAAAACTGGGACCATTTCAATATTTATTTCTATTTTCCTGAAATTAATGGAACTGTAATGATCTTACATGAAGTTCCCGTAATATCCATTTAAAAATGTAATTTAATAATTATTGTAGCACTGCAAAAACTATTTCTGTTCGCCACGAGGATGATGATGGATTTTTAATATTTGATTTAATAGTAGATTAATTTAAAAAAAAAAAGTAGTCTACAAAGGTTTGAGCCTCGCGCGCGTATTACGGATATAGAGGACTGGATTTAACATTTGATAAAAAAAATGCAATTTTGAAGCTTATTTGAAAGATACCTTGAGTTAGTAGTAAGTTTTCTGGCAAATGTTAGGGGTTCGTGAGCATTCCTGACATTGCTGAAAATTATGATAGCATCAGATTGCGGGGTTACTAGTGTAATAGGATGCTTTGTTGATTGTTCATTAACTCTTGATTGCTTGTAATACTTATGAATATTTTAGGTGTACAAAAAGGCGAACTAAGAGGTGGACGCCTGAGCTTTTCCACATTTATATCGCTGTGAAGCAACTGTAAACTCTAGAGGGAATTCATATCTGTAACTGAAACCAGTTCGATTTTGTTTGCCAACATGGTTAAAATGTCATATTCAATCATCTTAAAGATAAATTGTCCAGCTCAAACCTTTGTAGGGGTAGGAGGTGGGACCATCATCATCATAAAACTTGAAACTGCCGTTTACGAAACATAAGTTAAAATGTGTATGCATCATTCTGATAATCATTGAACTTCTCTTGCTACCTAAAAAGTTTTACTATGTCCGATGTCGGAGAGTTTGAATAACTTTGTACGTTGTTTAACCTTGAAAGTCTTTCATGTCACGCAGTGTTGGAAATATCGCCAAAAATTCACTATCACCCAAGGTATAATCAACTCTTCACACTGTGCCGAAACACAGCATGGCACACTGTTTGGCACGTTAGGGCATACGTTGACAAGTAGAATACAAACAATATAATATAAAATGGCCTCACTGTCAAGCGTTGACGTTTTAGTAATTGTTGCTAAGAATGAATCCTTTGTTTACTCCAATGTAAAGCCCAATAAGTTCGTGGATTGTGAAATGTCACATTTAGAAAATCTGTAAGTATTTTCTGCATCATGAATTCAATCAAACTAACAATACTCAGTCCATCTAATTTGATTCACAGTGACAACCCCTACGGCTTGTGGTTTTGTCAAGAAGGCCGTAACGGTGTACCTCCAACGAGGGTTGGTCATATGCCTAGAAGATCTGGCTCGGAATGCGATCGGTGAAATTTTTGAGCTTGCCGTTGGTGTAAACAGGTTGGTAAGTACATGGAGTTCAAAAACAAACCGTCAATTTATGCACGTTTGCAGTACGTATTTCTGTAGAACGAATATTTTCTGAACGGTGACTAAATTGTGCCGGCTGTAGAAGAAATGTTGAAGCAGTCGAGCAGACTTCCGGAAAGAATGACTGTACGTAGATTCGATTATTTCTTCCAAGCAGCGCTTGAAAATAATGCTTTTCATTGCAGTTAATTTGTTACAAGTGGAGATGTTCCTAACACAGGTGTGCAAAACGTACAACAAAGCCATAACCGAAATGGGAACGGCCGGAAAAAATATCCAGCATCATACGATGGTCAAATTTACATTTGGAACGAAGGATAGGGCTACTATGATAATCGAGCTACATTTACAAGTTCATTATATATAATAACTGATAAATGTACATCAGCCTACCGTTTTTCAGCCTAACGTAATTCGGCTTAATGACCCAACACCAGATAATCAATAAAGACGAAACGATTATCACAGAGATTTTCGACCAGGTTAGAATATCGGTTTTGCCGAGGATCTTCCGGTATGGAATTTTTCTAGTTTTCTCCTGAGTGTTTCCTCAGATAGTATTGTTTGTCGTTCAGGCCTATTCTATGAATCGTGTGACTCTTTGTTACTAGTGAGGTGGCTCTCTATTTGATTTTCACAAAGATTCACCTCACTATAGTGCACTAGTTCAACTTGTTCATCGCAAGAGGCCCCGGTGGCCTTCCGATCCGTCAACTGTAAAGCCTTGCTGAATTTATAAAATTTGGCTCGCTGCAGAGCGAGTTTTGCTGCGCTCAGCGGTTTCCGCCTGACGAACCTAAGCAATTTGCTATTTAGCAAAAGCTTCGCAAGATCCTATGGACGTGCAGATGAGCCAACTACACTATGCAACACAGATTCCCAGATTCCATTTCGGCTCATCAAGTGATTACGAGTTATCTTCTTACATGGATGGCTCTGATTTCACACTAGGAACTCGACGCGTCGATTACATGACCGTCGTTCCTCTTTCAGTCCGTTCGAGTTCGTTGTTTGCTTTAGTTGTAGAGGATTTCAAAGAATGACGGTTGCATTTCTTCCTTCATCGATCAGGTTACGACTTCGTTTCCGCACACCTGAAAGGAA